TTATTCCAATAATTCAGAATTACAGAAATCTAACATCTATGCAAAACTACACGCTATTAGAACATAAACAGGAGGTAGATTAAATGACTAGTTTAAAAGAAAAGAAAAAGAATAAAACCAACAAGCTTATTTAGGCGTATCATAGAGAACCATGTTGCCCACAGACACCATGATGGATTTATTCTGTTAATCGATTTGCACTATTGGTTAAGTTAAGGCTACCTCTATCTGTGTAAACTTAAATTTTATTTCACAAAGATGGATTGTTCATAAAGTGAAGAACATTGTGGAAAACAGTGAGCATCCTCTTCATCAGACTGTTGAACAACAACAGAGTTTCTTCAGTCAGAGGCTTCCCCAGAGCGGGTGCAAGACAGACTGCTGCAGAAGATCCTTCCTGCCTACAGCATCAACAACACCTGGTTAAAAAACTACTCATTAATTATTTAGTTTCCCTGTTGGATTAATTACATTTTTTTGGGAGTCATAAAGTATTTCTGAATTGAATTGAGTTTGTGTTTTTCAATTCAATTAAAAAAAGATACTTTATTAATTCCAAATCATATTTTAACCCACAATGAAAGGTCAATACTGGATAAAAAGGACATTTTCTGGCCCTCACTTTTTTGCATATTGTTTTTGGGTTAGCGGTTTATGGTTAGCATCAAGGTTAGACCATAGAAATGAATGGAAGTCAATGCAAAGTGTCTTTGTAGATAGAAATACATGGACTTCTGTGTGTCTGTGTTGAGTCAGGAGTCACACCCTGTACTGTGTCTTACTCAGCGTGTCTGTAAAAGGTAAAACAGAAAAACGGTGTGCGTGCTGAACATACCCTCAGGCCACAGTCTTTCTACCCTGAGTGATGATCAGTTGAGTTAATAAACCAGCTGACGGGCTGAGGAAACATTGCTTGCAGCATGAGTAATATGTTTCTGTGCAATGCTGCTAAGCTTTGCCGTGATGGAATAAAACACACCAAATGTTGTAATGCTGCAATATTGTAATATAAGGGCAGCAAATTAAAAAGAGGCTTTGCCAAAAAACTAAATCAAAATGGTGTTTGTTTAAAATTTACCATGAGATCTGTCAACGTGAGGCTTGCTTTCAGGAACAGTGTGAAGTTGGAAACAATAAAACTATAAAAGTATATTTCCTTCGCATTGAGCTCCGTGCAGATTTTTCTGACTGAATTAGAAGTGTTTGATAACAGATATCCAGCCAAATGACTTATGCCAAATATACTTGGTGTCTGGTATTCCTCTGAAGTGTTTGAGTTATCAACATGAAGGATGAGGAAAAGTCAGAATATAAAAATAAAATTAGTAAAAAATTGTACTTAAAGCCAACAAAGACAGGAATCTGAGGGGAAAGTTACATTCCTGCAGGTATTTTGGGCGAGGTCCTTTTGCTCTGTGATGTGTGATGCTCAGTTCAGACATGTTTTCGTTCCTTGCGTCTTTGTGGGGTTTTTTTTTTTTACTCCGTGTGTCTGTGTTGATTCATGACTGCAGGGAACGGTTGTCAAGGGTGGGACTCTGACACACTGTGTCTCACCCTGCCCAGGTGAGCCAGCGTATAAAACAGTCAGAAAGCAGCGCATTGTTCAACACGGACAGAAACTAACCCTACAGGGATCGAGTTTCCAGGTGAGCTCCACATCTACCAAATACATCAAAACTTCCTTTACTTGCTTTTTTCACAAGTCTTTATTATCTGTTCCAGGAATCCAGTATGATAATCCTCGTACTTCTAGCTGGTAAGATTTCTCTTTAGCTGGTTGATTGTTTTTTTTTTTGTTGAGATGACTAACAAATTCTAATATAGCCTGTTAGTTAGACAGCAAGTTATTTAATCAAACCATCTTCAGTTGCACATGAGAATGTGAAATCTCATCACAGATAAGACGTTAGAACCAGAAAATGATCACATTGATAACAGTAATTAGGACAACTGTTTAGACGATTTGTGTCTCCTGCACTAGAAGCCAGAGGCTAATCCCAGAGGTTTGCTCTGATCAAGTGTAATAAATACATTGGGCGATGGAAACCGGTAATTATCAGCTCAAAGTTGCACCAGCAGATAGGTGACACATGAGGAGATGTTTGGCTGCAGACTGGCTCATCTGTTGGTGAAGTGGGGCAGGCAGAGACCTGTGAGCACCGGGGAAGATTCACATTGAGTAAAACCTCCTATCATAAGTGAATGGGCGAGGCGGGGGCACTGTGGGGCCCTGCATTGGTCTGTGTCTGTGGCTGGTCTGTGGTCCTGCATCGATGCTAAATGTGGGCTCCTGGCTGGTGGACCCCAATGAGGTTCCACTGTTTTTTTGCTTTACCCTCATACTTTGCTCTTACTCTGATTACCTTACCTTCCTACAGTATTCTAATGCTGACACTGCAGCTCTTAGATCCTTTTGTATGGTCGCTCCCATTACCTTTAAAATTTGGCCTGTCTCTGACCTAAGTGTGAACTGTTTACCCACAGCTCAGCAGAGATGGATATTATGCTTTAAGTGCACAGCAGATGCCAGTTATTACGTCAGCAGATGATGTGTAGAACACTTGAATAAAACGAGAGGGAAACTCTTAATGTGGCTTTTTAAGCAGCTCTGACTGCAGTTTCAGCACAAGAAACTGTCTGGATATGGAGACACAGCGATGGTGAAGCTAAGAGGTTCAATATCTTCTAATGTTTGTAAAGTTTGTTGTGACAAATAGCAAAGATGCACGTGCACCGTGTGGTTACCTGCACTTAGGTGACCAACGAAGAGCGTAAAGAAGTGATCATCTGTCCGAACGGTCCTTTAACCGAGTTTACTGTAAAGTCCACTATATAGTCCCTGCTCTACATAGTGATTTAGGAGGTAGGGTGGACAATCAGATACAGGACTCCTAAAGTCTGACAAATGAAAACATTTATTAACAAAACAAATGCCCCATTTTCACTAGACACGGTAACCGAGATGGGGCAACTGAACTGGACCGCGCCAGACTCAACCAAACCGCGCTAAATCTGGTGCTAGTTCAACAGTAGGGCTCAGCACAGTTCATCTGTGGCTCGGTTCTCTGAGCAGACCGCATCATCTCCTATTTACAGTCACATGACTAATTTTGCGGGTTTTCTGGCGTGTCCGGCTTTGCAATTCGCTGGTGGCCAGCCCGTCCAGGAAAGATCCAGCCTACCAAAGCAGTCAGCCAGGATATGTACGAACCGATCACAGATCTGTTCACAACACGGAGCTCTTACAAGCCTGTTAACTATAAATGGCATCATTAGAGCGACTCTCATTGAAAATCCAGGAACATAAGTTTCTTAATGTTATGGCGTCCTCATTTTTCTTTGCGTAATTCCCGCCTTGAGAGCTGTAGTATCGATAGGAGGCGAGGAACCATGTGAGCTGGATGTGTTAACGGTCGGAAGAACCAAGCTCGGCACGGATCGGTTTCAGAGGGAAAGCTGAAATGGAATAAAAGGAAGCAGGTCATAATTAGTTTAAGACAAAGGGCAAGAGTGGTAAGTTCATAATGGCATAGAATTGAGCTGCTTTCTACATGAGAGAGGATGATCATGGGAGAAGTTTCTTTCCTGAATAGTTTGAAGCAGGTAGATGGAGATGGCAGCAAAGGTCGACTGGAACTGTGCGAAGGTAGGAGATTTCTCATTAGAGAAGTCTGGGATACGTGGTGAAACCAGCAAGGAGACTTGTATCTTGAAGCTAAAGAGTACAAAGTGTGAGCTTGAGGGAAACAGGCAAGAAGATGAACAAGATTCTCAAAAATGTTGTCAAAATCCACTCAAGAAGAGTTTCTGAGCTGCTGTGCCTTTGAGCATCATGAACAGCTGCTGCAGCTGGATGAGACAATTATTGAAAGGTGTTTGGTCTGCCGCTGGTGGCCAGCCCGTCCAGGAAAGATCCAGCCTACCAAAGCAGTCAGCCAGGATATGTACGAACTGATCAAAATACACTAACCGCTGGACTTCTTGTTATCGGTGTGGGATTTCTGCAAGATGGCAGTCAAAGTCTGTGGTCAGTCTACCTTTGAGCATCTAATACCCCTTTCCCACTGGAGGAAAAATGTGTTTAAACGCGGGAACAATCAGTTTTTACTGGCAGTGGGAACAGCTCACTGATACGTGTCTACCCAGGTCTGATCGCCATGCTGTGGGAACAACGGAGCCGGGTTGACCCACTAAATTACGTGATTCCATTGAACACAACGTACGGACGTCAACACACCGTGCCAATCGCTTCTGATCTAACAAGCAGAAACAACTGTGTTTATATTCGATAAACATGCAGCAGCTCTGGTTAGAGGGATTCAGACAGATAATAGAGAGAAACAATAAAGCACACTGACTACACCCTGGCTTCCTACCATGTTGCACTCCATTGTTTACTTTCCTGATTTCTGTTGCAATGGTGACATCATCAGCACTAACCCAGTGTGATGATGTCATTGTCACTACCCGATCCGTCCTGCGCATGCGCGAACAGAATAACTTCCGGTTAGGTAATACTTTTTTTAAAAACGTTCTTACTCTTTTGTCTTTTTCTAACAGGGGTTCCTTTTAAATATTTTTGTATTTGCATAAATATTGCACATTCTAAAAACGGAAAAAAAAACTTAAATAGCTTTTCAAATGTTACTGTGACTGCTCTTAGCATGTCCGATGTTGACATCACGCAGTACAATGGAGAGAAAGTAAAACTTATACATTTCTTCCAGAAAAGTCGTAAATATTTTTTATACAATGTAGTTTAGCTTTCTTTTATGTTTTTAG